TATCTCAAGGGATCGATAGAGCTTTTGCAACGCTTTTGGATTCCGAGGTCGAGGTCTGTGTTGTACAACCCTTTCTCTAGTTCCGACAGTCTTTACCCGCGTGTGATTATTCGGTTTCGAGAACGGAAGCATCTTTGAAATGGAACACGTTCATCATCGGTACCATGCGTAAACGTAATTAAAAGTTTCATATTTTTCCGTAGCTTTTATGGCGTCCTAAGGGAGTACATTTGAATGGTAGCACTTCTAGGTTGCTAATCAATAGTTCAGACCCCAAAAGTACAATGTTTGAGATAAACCAATGTAGGAGAGTGGCAAAATTCTGAGAATTCCGCACTTATGTGCACTCTCTGTGATACCTGGCAGAGCGTTTCTTCGTGAACGAGTCCGTTAGAGAAAAAAACAAATGCATGTTCGAATAAATCGTAGGAAGCATCTCATTTACCGGTGCCTAGGAAGAATTCTTCGTGCGGCCGCCTCAGGACTCAAACGCGGCGATCGAATAGGTCGACCTGTTGGAAAGCAAGACTCGGTGATAGATCGCTTCAATGCTTGTATGCACCACATCGGCCCCGGTCGATCTGCAAAACACTAACAGAACGGGAATCTCTGTCTACCCTGGATATGAGATCGACGAGGTCGATTCCTGTTTCATGGCATACTGAGAGGCCTCAGAACGGGTGACTCTGTTAAAAGTAATTGCCCTAGTTCTTTCCACTTTTCCTTCCGCGTCGTCCCTCACAGCACCCTGGTTATTCCCCGATAATACTATCTCGGGTTTGATAAACACTGGGTCATCAAACAGCCTCATCCGAGTCGATATCGTCAGACACCTTCCACGGACAATGCGATATGATACACACGCTCGAATGGTGGCTGCTGGTGGTTCTTCCATGAGAACGCACTGTGCCTTCCAAAAAACATTACAGCTAGGAACACAGCAGATCCGACACCAGCTGATCACTGCTCTAGACATTCCGTTCGGATATAGAATCAGAATGGACTTTTCGCGGTTGCCACATGGCAAAAGCGATATAAGCGACTTCCCTCCTAAAAGCACATCTTGATACCATACACCTGGTAGAACTCAAGAACGCAGTAACACAAGCCAACCTGTCCAAACTCGAAGACCCTACCACCCAGTCCATGCAATAAACATTATCTGGCGGTTCAAGAATAATGCACCCGGAGTGAAATCCTAGTGGATCAAGCAACTCCAGCGCGTGGTCGAAGAACGCGTGAACGCGTTCACTTGGAACAATACACAACTGGGGAGGACATGTCTCGTAAAACACCGAATAGACTCTGGGAATACCCCACCTATTAAGATTCGTCCCAGAAGCATCTCAGCATTTTGGAAAAATGAACTGGCGGAAAATCTCAAACATGTGTAAAAGAGTGATGTCATCCACCCCTCAAACTCGCCATGCTCCGCACCTATGGTACTGATAAGGATGAAGGATGGCGGTCATAGAATATCTATCGATTATAGACAAGTTAGCAAAGTAACCAAGAGGGATGCTTTTTCCTTACCAAGAATTGACAACCAACTTGAAGCACTGGCTAAATTTGTCTCCAGTACGCTAGAACTGACATCTGGATATAAGCAAGTAGAAGTGCACGGAGATAACCGCCCTAAAGCAGCGTTTTCGAAGCTTTCGGGGATATATACGTTGCAGATGATGCCAATTGAACTGGTGAACGCACCTGTTACCTTTCAGCGATCGACGCAACAAGCCTTGAAGGATCTGATACCAAACCAGTGTTTGGTTTATCTGGACGACATAATTGCTCAAGGAATCACGGAAGAGAAAACATCTAGTCAACCTAAAAGAAAACCTCGACAGATTGAGGAATACAGTAATCCGCCTAATAGCAGAAAAATACCACTTCACACAGTCTCAGGTTGCACATCTGGGGCACGCTATCCCGGCAGCAGAGGTCAACTTAGACCTAGAGAAAGTTGACAGGTGCAACCCTGGCAGACATCACAGAGTCTGGAGTAGGTCAGAAGTTTCCTAGGATTTGCATCCTACTACAGACGATCTATTGCCGGATTTGCCCAAGTTCTCTCACCCTTACACTCCATGTTGGAAAAGAATACACCATTTAGGCGGGACAAAGAATGTGAAAAATCATTTCAAACGCTGCGAAAACGTCTTTGTTCAGCGCCCATTTTGGCACTTCCCAACACGTCTTCGTCTCTGTTGGACAGTTTACCCTTTACACTCTTTACAAGGATGCCAGCGACAATGCGATCGGTGCAGTACTGTCACAGATGGGACGAGACGGAAAGAAGCAAGTTATAGCCTACGGGAACCGAAGGTTGAGTAAAAAGCGAAAGGCCCTACTTCACCACTCGAAAACAGATGTTGGCACTAGTATTCTTTTCGAAACACCACAGGCACTATCTAGTCGGCCCGGAAATTCATCATCTGTAAAGACCATCAATCCCTAAGCTGGATACGAATTTTCAAAGATGCTGAAGGCCAGGCGGCGAGGTGGCAGGAAATAATACAAGAATAGGACTTCAATTGCTACCATAAACCCGTGAAGAAGGAACACTAACACCGACGCGCTGTCGCAACACCCTTCACGCTATTATAGAGATTACTAAACCTGCATTAATTAATACGTAGCAACAGTGTAGCTTCAACGGATGGAATGCGGGCTTTGGCAAACAATCCAGGCAAACAATCAAGAAAAAGCGGTAATGTACGACCGATGACACTCAGATCGTGATAGGCATACCAGCCGCGATATGGGAGGAAAGAGCTATGAGAGCCGGTGCCTTTGGTTGATGTGGACTACTTTAATATGGTGCAGGGAGGGATGTTTTCCACTACGGACCAGGCTAAACATCACGGTTGTTGGTGCCTCAGATGTTGGTTCGTGACGTTCTGCAAGACTCACGCGGGTATTAACAAACCAGAGTTTGCTGCGAGACAACGTTTGTTGTGGCCACACCCACAAAGGAACGTTGTAAATTTCTGCAACACATGTGAGCTCAGCGGTAGCTCCCAAAATCCACCAAACAGCAATCAGGCACCACTCCAGAAAAGTACCGCTGGATACCCGCATGGAATAATCGGTATCGACATAATTCGGCGCCTACCGGACACGCTAATGGACCGCATATACATTCTTGTATTGGTTGACCGTTCTACAAAAGGGTGTGAGGCCGAAACAATAAAAGATGTCAACGCTGTGTCTGTGAGACACGCCATACTCGACAGATGGATTTACAGATGAGATGCTTCCGGGCAACTGCACTCGGAGCTTCGAGCAAAGCTCAAGAGCACTCTACCGCGGGAAGTGTGTAAAGCTCTTGGCATAGATCAGACGAGAACAACAGCCTACCCAACTCAGGAGAGCGGTCAAGTAGCGTGAAAAAAACCTTAAGCTAAAAGCTCTGCTGAGGTCCTTCACACCCATTACCCCCAAGAGTGGGACCGCATACTGCCACGCTGTCTTCTGGCGTAAATCAACACGCAGGTGTTTGCTTCTTTGAGAAGACCGATATGAAGTTCACTCTGTTTCATTTAGTATGATTTCGTAAGATTTCATCGAAAGGTGTGGTGGAACAATGATGGAGATTGGCCCATCTGGGTGCAAGAAGGTAGATATGTGAGAACATAAACCCGCAATAGTGATGCATGTGTTACGCAGTTACTCATGCACATCATTCCAGATCCGCTTCTTTATAATCTGGTTATTGCCGTCATCACGTGATACGCATTTTGATCCGTTCATGATCAATATTATCCTCATGTCTGTACTACGGAGATTACGAAATTATGTAAATTGAAATTAAATGCACAATACTGGAAACTTGAAAGGTGAGAGACTAACATGGAAAGATTCCGAAATCCACAAACGAAACTCCCAGTAAAGAATAAAGAATGGTAAAATCCAATGATGAACCACAACAAAACAACACAGGGGAATACGGTGCTTCGCGCGAAAACATCACCAGACACGTGCGTCATTGCAATCATGATAACCGTCAAGCCAACAGTTGCCTGAATGAGCACTATTTGCAGAAACCACAGGGGAATGATCGAAGTTGCCTTCCGAGTGATTGAGGATGGAAAAAACGGAACACTCACACATTCAAATTGTATTTCGAATCAAACCAAGAGCAGAACAAAAGAAACAAATAATGAATACTCATTTGGAAGGAGAAAGCATTAGACAGCTGGTTTCGGTTTGCATTTGAATAGTTTGCACTGCTTGCTACAACACTCATCGTCCTTCATGCAAAGGTGATTGCCGGATAACATTCGATACAAACTCCTTTGCCCGGCCGTTCCAGATAACACATCACACATCAACATCACACAATCTGTTCACTCATTCCTGATTTGTTACACCAGAGAGTTAAAACTTGGAAGGTATGAGTTTTATTGGCAAACATCTTCCGAAGTAGTCCGTTATGCTCTCATGTTCCGGCAAGTCAAAAGTCTCAACAGTTCATTTGTAAGTTTCTGCTTTGGAGGGTCACCGGTTGTACACTGAGATGGTGCAAGGTGCATGTTGTGCTCAATGTGCCCAACGGTCTATTGTCAACATCTGCCGATCTGTTGTTTTCAAGATATCTCTCACATGTTCCAGGCACTGTTTCCATGTGGCAACGCCACGCCCCCCTCCTTCCATTGCAGCTCGTATCCGATCCCACGCAGTCCAACAAATGACACCACATAGGTATACGGATGCTGAAACACACAACATTGAAACACTTGTTGATTTTTGTGGGGTCAAAGACAAATGTGGGGACAGGCAGAAATATTCCGTCCGGAAGAACATACCCACACTTGAGGAAACAATTGAACTTTGCTACCCGACCGCACACAGGTCGAATGAAAACAACCTGTATAACTGCATAAATTCAGTGCAGGAATTGAGTCAACTTGATTCGTTCAGAGCACACTACTCGCATCTGCTGCACAATGAAAATCAGTTTGATGAACTGGGTATTCGTTTTGTTGGTTTTGCCTCACATGCTGATGGCCAATCCGGACGGTGAGTGATGCAGTATACACGACTGATTTTGCCTTTTTGATCCTTGTATTTGTGTTTCCCATTGCATTAGAGAGGGAAAAGCGATTTCACTGTCGATCTGAACCGATCACTATTTCGATGTTATCTTCACACAAATCATCGCCAATCTCTCGCTTGATCAGCCAACATTTGTAATGATACCTGTCGCACATCACTGCTCAGCAATATTGGCATAGTATAAGAATAATTGGGACAGTCAGTTTCTCACTCCAGCAGCGCGGGTCGAATATCGGCCGCAAAGTTTGTCTATTCCATCCAGGAAATACATTGTCTTTGTGTGTGCATGTTTTTTATTCTTGTTTTCGTTCACGCGTGCAGTTCTCATTGATCCTTTTCTCCCCACTTCAGCCAAATGCGTTCCTGAGAAAGGCGAGTGCGACAAAACCGTGTTCCATCGTTGCTGTGACAAGCTAGTCTGTGATCTGGAACGGCCGGGCAAAGGAGTTTGTATCGAATGTTATCCGGACAATCACCTTTGCATGAAGGACGATGAGTGTTGTAGCAAGCAGTGCAAGCTATTCAAATGCAAACCGAAACCAGCTGTCTAATGCTTTCTCCTTCCAAATGA